TTGGTGCTGGAGACGCCTCCTAAAGATCCCATGGATGGCATTCGGCACCAATTCATCCATCCTCAAAGAACTCGGTATCAAAGACCGACTTTCGTCAATTGTGTAACTGAGGGTTTTAAAATTCTTTGGTCACATCTCCAGAAAAGAGCACTCGATGGAGAGACTGGTAGTCCAGAGCCGGATGGAAGGCAGAGGATCACGCGGCTGCTCATCGACCCGCTGGACTGACCTAATAAAGAAGGCAACTGAGTCCACTATGGTCGAATGTACTCGAAACGCTTCGAACCGCCAGACCTGGAAGCGCATTGCCTGGAGGCGGTCGTCGGGAGCATGGGCGACCTAACAGGTCCTACAGGCACATACAGCGTCAGCGCAACCACGACCACTCTGACAAGAGTGTCCGACTGAGAAGAAGATTGTGGTTGCTTGAGCGGTAGACAGCAGCTTGGCTCTGCTGAAGTCCATGGGCGACGGTAACCACTCACCATCAGGTGGGCCGTATGCTCGTCTGCTTACAAGGGCATTAAAAAAGCCAGTAAACTATAATAACTAACTTTACAGAAGTACTATTTAAAGTTTGAAAATTAGAAAAACAAAAAATTAAAAAAAATCTTCTTCGGCTATTTGAATGGAGTTAACTTAACTGAAGTTCAATTAAAGCATTCGTATTGTTGATATTAATTACTACCAAATTAAACGGTTCTTTAATTACAAAGATAAATGTCGCGTATTAAGCGAAATGTCGCTTACACCATATAGCCTTTCACCTTTCACCCTTCGATATATTCGTGACGATAAATGTAATTCAAACTATACCAACATTCCAAATTTGGTTTACAAGCGTTGTTCCTATTTGTGCAGACGGCCATTTTGTTTTCTCCGCATATACACCTTTGACAGCCTCTGTTGTATAATTCCCCTGGCTGGCAGATCTTCGGGAGTTTGGGAAAACCTAATAAAAGTTTTTTTTTTTCATTGCCAATTCTTTTTCCGGCTCTCAGGGTATGTGCCCGTTTCTCGCCATAAATCTCGTCTATATGACTCTGTTCTAAGCACAAAAGCTTCGTGCACATCAAACCAAAGTCGTCTTTGCAATAGCATTTGTTGCACTCCATTCTGTAGGAACGTCCGGGCACGCACGGATCCCCTTCTTTTATTTCCGGTAGATCGTAGAGACTGTTTGTGTTTGCTGAAAAATCATACCAGTTTAATTACGTGTGTCGTCCATAGATATCATATATGAACCTTATGCTTTTTTTTTTCCTACCTAAGCTGATAGCCTTGAGAGATTATATCAGCGTCGCCTTAACTAGTAGGTGAGCTTACAGGGCCCAAACCTGATGACGTTGCTAACACGAACCCTAGCAATAGCCGTGCTTCGCATAATCTACCACCGGATCGGAAACGCGACCCACTAAGAAGATCCGGCGAGAAACTCAGTGGGCTGTGTCTGAGGGTTAATTTACTCGTCGAGCCCTTCGTCGCAAGCGACGGGTTCGACGAGAACGATGACCGGTGTTTGAGGTACGTAAAAGCACCGTTAATGGATCGGGAAGATCCGAAATGACGTGCTTGGGGCGACGTTGACTGCTTTCCATTCTGTCCGCAGGATCGGGAATGTAGTTACCGGCGGCCACGATGAGAGGGTTCTCAGTGGTACCTACCAGCGCGGACTCACAAGAGGTCCTACCACCAGTAAAATACTTATACCAGAGCGTTCTTTCAACTGGTTTCTTCTGCTCATTTCAACCAAGTAACAAGATAGCCGTTATTATAATGTAACAAAGTAGACGACATAAATCACGTTATCGAAGGGATTTTTTATTTTATTTAAAGTAGCAACTTGGCTGCGAACACCGATATAAGACATTGCTACCAAACTCGCTTCCAATTTTATTACCATGTCGTTTAAGCTAAATACTCACATACGTTTGCAGCGAATGCTAAAGAAATCAGAGAGCCAAATATTCCGGCGTACCACATGATTGACCCGTCGGACTGCATTTCGATATCAAACCGCAACGCAATAGTTTTATTCCATTTGAATTACTAATGATTACGTCGTAATTACAGTTTTACAGCTAAATTTGTGGCCGTTACTGTTGAAAACGATTAGATTAGCTTTAAGTAATTGTTTTCTTCAGTTTTCGCGATACGTACCTAGACATAAAATTAAAAATAAAATTAATTAAAATTAATTTTACGGTTTAATCTCGTGTTTTCTTTAATTGTCATCTATACTAATATTATAAAGAGGAAAGATTTGTTTGTTTGTTTGTATTGAATAGGCTAACTACTGAGCCGATTTGAAAAATTCTTTCACTGTTTGGAAGCTACATTATTTCCGAGTAACATAGGCTATAATCTTTTTTGAATTGAATTAGGGATCCTTACTAAAACTCCAATAATGTAACCCAAAGTGTAAAAAAAATACCTAAAATATTCTTTACATCGCGTGCCCTGCGAAAACTATTGATGATAGAATAAAATAATGTACCACGACTTTGTAGAACACATTATTATTTACAAAAAGTGTCGCGACAGCATATGTCTAACTATTATAGTTACGCCGCAGTTATATTATATTTCTGTGTTTCAAATGCTTTACATTTTTCCTAATCGACGACTACTTAAGTGTTCTTGGCCAATATTTAAATACTGCGCTAAGTACCGTCAATTTTTGAATAAGTTTGAGAATTTTACTGGTGTTAGAACCTCTTGTGAGTCCGCGCGGGTAGGTGACACCGCCCTGCCTATTTCTGCCGTGAAGCAGTAATGCGTTTCGACTTGAAGGGTGGGGCAGCCGTTGTAACTATACTTGAGACCTTAGAACTTATATCTCAAGGTGGCTGGCGCTATGACGTTGTAAACGTATATATGGGCTCCAGTAACCACTTAACACCAGGTAGGCTGTGCTCGTACACCCATCTAAGCCATAAAAAAATAAAAAAATCTTCTTCCGTTGTTTTTCTATATTTTGTTTCAAAAATTCACACTGAACGAAGTAAGTGTGCGTTTTGGGATTTTCTGTAGGTTTTTATCTTTACGTTAAGACGATCCCAGACTCCAGACGGGTAGATAAGGGTCGAACATCGTTGATAAAAGTAAAAGCAGTTTTAAATATTAGCTTTAATGAAGAAAATATTCGTGGTGCGTTGCTTAGGGCTTATATACTACACATGTGGACGCTGTCCAGAGCTGACGCTGCAGAGGCAGAGGTCCAATGTGCTGGTCGGACCAGATGCGCTCCACTCTCAATACTTCAGTCCACGTTGCTACCCACACAGCCGAGGATAGGCAGGAATGGCGCAGGATAATATAAGAGAAAGTTATTAGAGGAGGCCACGACCCTCAGCACTGAGGATTATCGACGCAAGGAGGAGGTGGACGCTGTGAGTTATTCCTTTAACAAAGCCACGGCACTGCACCGCTTCCCTCGTTACAAACATCGTGCCGAGAGCTAATAGTAGGGGATCCTAAGCGGGGGTTTCGGGATTTACTAAGCCGCGGGAGAAATCGTCGTGGCCTAAAGGATAAGACGTCCGGTGCATTCGTGTTGAGCGATGCACCGTTGTTCGAATCTCAGGCGCGTACCAACTTTTCTAATGAAATACGTACTCAACAAATGTTCACGATTGACTTCCACGGTGAAGGAATAACATCGTGTAATAAAAATGAAACCCGCAAAATTATGATTTGCGTAATTACTGGTGGTAGGACCTCTTGTGAGTCCGCGCGGGTGGGTACCACCACTCTGCCTATTTCTGCCGTGAAGCAGTAATGCGTTTCGGTTTGAAGAATGGGGCAGCCGTTGTAACTATACTAGAGACCTTAGAACTTTATCTCAAGGTGGGTGGCGCATTTACGTTGTGGATGTCTATGGGCTCCAGTAACCACTTCGCACCAGGTGGGCTGTGAACTCGTCCACCCATCTAAGCAATAAAAAATAAATAAATAAAAAGATAAATATACAGAAGGATACCTTGTACCCGCTTAAATACCTCCACCAAATATGAACCTCATAAGTAAGGCCGCGCGTTCAGGATAAAGGATCAGATCAGTAAAAAAAAATTGATCATCAGAAATTCTCGAGCGCGTCAGATTAAGGTACGGTGAGTTAATTACGTGCTAAAAAATGTATATTCCACTAATCTGACAATCGGAGAGTACAACTAAATAATTTACCCGGTAATGAGCAATATGGATCTCTCCTGAGTTTTAAATCACAATACTGCAATCACCAACAATCGTGCCTCATAAATTGGCATACCTAAACAAGATCAAAGGCGTCTCTAGATCATGTAACGTCCGTGTGTAATCATTACTCTAGCGCCGTCAAAATGGAATAGGTACAAATCGACGCCTGAAAGGCAAACGTGACTAAGCGACAATAACTGCTTTGTACATAAATGATAGGCAATAACCATATTCGATGCGCAAAAAAATATATATATCTAGGTCTATTAAAATAATTTCAATCCTACAGCTACTAGCTAGGTTCTACTACAGCTAGATTCGTTAAAATAAATTTTGTTTTCAGGTATTTCAGCTTTAAATTAGTCTACTATAAAGTTCACCCATTGTCGCTTAGTCACGTTTGCCTTTCAAGCGTCGAAATGTAACAGGTTCATTGAAAGAGCCTATCCTACCCAGACAGGGCAACGTGAAGGCGTCGCCCGAAACATATCTTGTCCAGTATATACCAGTTACCTATACATATTACAAGACAGAAAAACATAAAGTTTCTTCGTAATCAAAAAAAGAACTCCAATTGCTTTAGGATTTCCTCGTCCTTTCACGAACTCAAATAGCTGGACTCCGATGATGCAGAGGTAAGCGCAAGATCGCATCTCATTTACGCCACTGGCCAAGACAATGCTAAAGATGAAAGTAGATTTTATGCGTAATTCCATTGCACTTCCATCCAAAAGATATAGGATATCTTAAATATATAAAAAAAAAATTAGGTTTCTTGTGAATAAATAAAAACACAAAATTCAAAAAATTATTTTTTATTACATTTTCATCATTACAAATATGGACCTTAAGCGGATCTTAAGTATTTTAACTAATACACGAGGGCACTTAAACTAAATTAAGCATCTTAACCGACGAAGCATTTTATTATTATTCAAGATTTTTTTTTAAATCGTACCTAGACACAGTTTAGTTCAATATCAAGTTAAACATTTATTATGTATTGCTAGTCGTTTAGTAATATTCGAAAATCATGAGTACCAACATACTACATACCATCAGACGTACCAACAAAATAAAAATGTGTATTTCCGAATTTAAAAAAAATAATCTTTTTTTTTAATGTCAAAACAACCAAATCGTACAGCCAAGCAAACATTTCTGCCTTGAGCGGAAAGCAACTGGTGTATTTAAAATGAGCTTTATATAATTAAGATTAGACTTGTTCTGATTTGAAGAAATATCATTAATTGAACTAAACTAGGTAGGCCAGTGGAGGACTGTAAGTTTTTAAATAAAAATAAAATAATCTCGATCTAAGCTTCGCCAATGAAAATCTCCGCCATTAAATTCTAAAACTGATTAAATTTCAAATACAACATAAAATGTAAGTACCATTAACAAAATACTAAAACGATTTAGTTAAAACAAAAATGGCCGATGAAGAACTAAATATTCAAAACTTCAATTTATAAACGAAATTTTTAAAAACATTAATGATGAAATGAGTATGGCAATAATAAAACTTACGCGTTAAATTGAAAAATATGTGAACCGCTACCGTTAAAACTAATAATATAAAGGCAACATTTTCATTTTATTTAGACAGAAAGATCTTTTCCCGCCGAAAAGCGAAGATGTATTGCTATACAATTATACATTCGTTTTTGAACAAAGAAAATCCTTCATCGTGTTAAATAAAATGAAAACAAAATGAGTATTTAAATAGACGTCTTCGTTATTGAAAACTGAGTTTTGAATTCACTAAACTAAATTAAGTAATAGTCAAAAATACGTATACGGCTACCAACTTTGTGAAAGAAACGACGCCATTTGCAAAATAACGAACGACGCTAAAACGAAGTAGGTTTTTTTTTTAAATTTCCTTTATAGAGTATTCGACAGCTACAGATTATACAAAATCTACTAATAGGCCTTTATAAATAAAAATCGTCTCTAAAATACAGGCATAGTACGTAAAGCAAATTCTATATAGACACAACGAGTTTGCGTTATATTTAAAACAAACGTATAAATAGATGGAAAACTTTTATTAATCTCGTTAAATTTTAAGTTCGATTATCGATTATTCGAATATCATGTATTGGCTTATGCGGCGTTTATGTGGGGCGTGATGTCCTGGTCGCAGAGACGTAGCGTACAGAAGACGCTCTTTCCGTCCGCCGAGCAAGTGCAGTCGTTACAGTCGCGGGTGAACTGCTCGCCGGGGTTGCAACGAAAACCTGGATCCTGGTCTGATATAAAACAAATATTGCCTCAGAAATCAGACCGTCATAACTGGGACTGATTGCTTTATGGCTTATATTTATATTTTTATTGCTTAATTGGGTGGACGAGCTCACGGCCCACCTGGTGTTAAGTGGTTACTGGAGCCCATAGACATCTACAACGCAAATGCGAGTTATAAGGTTTCAGTATAGTTACAACGGGTGCCCCACCCTTCAAACCGAAACGCATTACTGCTTCACGGCAGAAACAGGCAGGGTAGTGGTACCTACCCGTGCGGACTCACAGCAGTTCCTACCACCAATAAGAAAGTTCCAGTTCCTTCCGCCCAAAAATCACATACGGCCTCTTCCTACCTAATAACCCCCTATGCATATGTGTTAAAGTCAAGACTAAGGCGACTGTGAAGGTCTATTTGAATAAAAATAAGTTGATTTTTATTTATTAAGGTCTGGAGAATAGGGTGCAATTCACTTAGACGCTGCATCTCTAGAGTATGCTATGGAAGCTATGGGTGGTATAGCTATGGTTTCCAGTAGCTTGGTAACATCAAGTAGGCACTACCAATCTACACAACAAAAGCTAAGTACTTTCGCTAAACATTTATTATTCCCTAAGCTAACGAAATTATGGCTCATTATAGGAATAGTAATAGAGAAAACAAATGATCTGCTTATACCATTACTAGGACCCGTATAATATACCCCTAAACGTTTTGGCACGCCATTTATCCTTCCTCAAAATCCACTTATGACAATCCCAATCTATTTGCTTAATTTAAGACACTGCCGGCTTCCAAAAACTATGGACGTATTGTAAATGGTTCTTGATTAGAATGACTGTGATAAAGTGTCTTACGCACGTAAAATATAACCGAAATTCCAACGAAAACCTTCACCAGATTATTTTTAGGGTTTTGAGGGACTTTTAGGGTTCAGCAGAGCCAGGCAATAAGCGAACAGACGCTTACCTACCGTGCGCATGCGTCTCCTCCTTCTCCTGGGGGCATCGCATCAAGGTGCAAGTGGCGTGTCGGCCCTCGTCAGTACAGCGGCATACGTTGCAGCCCTGATTGTAGACGGAGCCGGGAACGCACGTGGCTGGCTTCTGACTTACTTCTGTTATACGGACGAAAGCACATAAGCTCTGACTAATGCTATACATTTGCGACAGCCCGATAAGTTCCTCTTTAGGTATATATCGCAAGCTTTTAAAGTGGACTAGTATTCGCCCAGCCCAGGTTAATAATTTAAATAATGGTTCTATCGTCAAAGACTTTATAATCTTCATTATAGTGAAATAATATTAAAGACAAACAATATTAATCTATTCTCAATTTGGCCACAGACTTTAAACACTAATAAAAATTTGATAATAAACAAAAGAGTATATAAGCGTGTTGTGTCAAATACACAATAGTGTGAGAACTATAAAGATTTAATGTATTTAGGGCATAATTTAAAAAAAAAATTAGCATTCTGCACTCATTCTCTGTATTCTCTATAAGTGTGGGAAATATAATATATACTCCTCCGCCCGCGCAATTTTTGTAAAAAAGGGTACAAAGCTTTTTAAAAGTTAGAAAGACCTCAGTCGAATTAAGACTTTGACCTTCGTGATTCAAGGCACATTATCCTGTGTATCGACCCCGGCAATTGCCTTAAGCAAATAGGAAATCCATTTAATCATAGAACCATACCTCTTTTAGTTCTGTCGCCGTTGAAGGGCTCAGCATTGTGGTTACTGTTGAGAGCGTTGCAATCCATACGAGTGCAGGAGAAGTCTTTGCCTTCCTTATCGCAGAGACACTTATTGCAATCCAACCGGAATTCTTGTCCGGGCTGGCAGGTTTTGACAGTTTCCTGGAAAACAAAATGTTTCTCTGCGTTAGCGTCAAGCTGAGCATAGACATTGTAGGGCACAGATCAAAGACGAGGCAAATGTCAAATATTGTATACTAAAATAAAAAGTAATATATTAAATACAGCGCTAAAATATTTCAAATTGAAAAGCAGTCCAAGGAAGTTTATCGGTTTTGTGCCCTACGCCCGAAAATCCACGCAAAAGCACTTGCCATTGGTACTGGAGTAGTAAATTTAATCTGATAACTTTAAATTTAAAGGCAATTTCTTAAGACATGAGCATATTTGAAACTGTACAAAATTTAAAAACCAGAAAATGGATCTTATTGGTAATAGAAGGTTTTACCTGTTGGGATGCACGAACTTTCCTTGACAGGGTGTGGTTCTGTGGAGACAACCAGACATACGAGGAATTAATATTAGAGTTACTTTAGAAAAGCTAATTAAGAGACAAAGAACAATTGCTGTATGAGGAGGATCGGGTAAGGGAATTTGTCTTAGTGCTTAGGGCTTAGTCAAAGTCCAACTCGGGATATTACCTACAATTGGAATGTTAGTTAGGATGAAAATAATACCACCACCATTAATGAAATCGCTTTTTATTTTCACAAAAATTATAAACGGTTTGTTGAAATAACAACAGGAATCAACGCGGTGGCGAAGATTTAGAAGAAATAGTACTTAACTTTGGAAAAACGCCACGACGAATTTTGGTTTCACTATTTATACTTAATTTAAAATATGGCACGAAGCGTAATTGACAGATGATATATTTTCAAAGACTGAAGGTCTTTAAGGTAATTTTCAGTGATCGATACACATCTGAAATGAAGCTAGATTGAATATATTTAGATCTTAGACTGAATTTAACTATATTCACTCTAGCTTCATTCCAGATTTTCCAGAGAAATTCTAAATTGCGTTGATTCTCGTCATTATCCCAGATTATCACAATTCTTTATATATGGTTGGTATGTGCAAACCTTTTCCTCGGCTTCCAAGCAACCAATCCTCGTACAAGAATACAATGTACCCTCAGAATTACATCGGCATCTGTTGCAACCAATTTGGAATGTTTCATTCGGCTTGCACTCCTTTGGCGTCGCTGGTTTCTGGTTCAAGTTCTAATTAAAATTAAAGATTTAATATATCCATTAAAACCGATTGACAAATTGCCATAGATTGAGTTTCTCGCCGGATCTTCCCAGTTAGTCGCGATTCCGATCCGGTGGTAGATTCTGCGAAGCACTGCTTTTGCTAGGGCTAGTGTTACCAAATTATCTCAGGTTGAGTCCGTGAGCTCACTTACCCGTCCGCGAGAAGCTGGAATAGCCCCTAACAGCGAATAGGAAGGGGAAAAAACCGGAAAATTGAGTAAATGTGAAAGAATCCTTACTATTACGTATCAGGGATACTTACGAGTATACTTTTAATGTATGTATATACATAATTGGGCTGTGAAAAAGTAGAAAGTTTACGTAAGAACCCATTTTCAAAAACTTTCAAAGATTAGCTTTTTTCAAAGTATACAAAAATCTTGGTAAACAATATAAAATGAAGCTCAGCGAAGGACAACCGCGGAACGAATGAAATAAGTTTAGTAGAAATACAAAGAGGAAAATTAAGATACAGCTTTTAAGCCAGAGGCCACAATGTGAATATTTTTAGCGCCAAACACAATTATTATGGAAGATAAACTTGAATTCAACTTGAATTCAGAAAACTTTGAAAATTAACGCTATCAAATGGTTTTTCAAGCAGCGCGATATATTCACACTATGCTCTAACCTCAATGTGGAAGAGAAAAAAAAATATCACAGATTTTAGATTCACAATCATAGACTACAGCAGTCATAGACAAAATGTCCTAAAGTCAATATGGAAGAAAAAAATAAAGTGTCACAGGTTTTGACAGTAGAGAATGATCATAGATTTTGAGAAGAACCACGAATGTGGTCTTGACGAAGGCTCTCCAAATCACATATTTTTCAGTTATCCTCGTCTATCTTCTTCCCTCTATGATCTTCTTCCTCCTGATATTCCTCGCCCCATTGATCTCAAATCTCTTCTTTCCCTTGTCAACTCCCCTTTCGTTTATATTCTCAGTTCATTCAATAACCATAATAATATTAAGCTGTAGTTTGTCTGTTTTTAACCAACTAACCCCTGTATATATATTGTGTGCGTCTTATTTTTTTTAGGTACATCAACAGCGATCCTGTCATCAAACATTTATAGCTACTGACTTAATTCTTAGTTACATCTGTGACCTTGATCGTTCACGAAGCGCGCTATTGAAAACAGAGTAATAAATACACTTGTCACTTGACATTGGCGAAATCTAAAAGGAAACGCCATAAACCCAAGAGATATATAGATAGAGAAGAACCACAACCGATCAAGAGTCCGTCAGCAAATCAACGAAGAAGTTCAGGAATTTCCCGCAAAGACTACCACCAGCACCAGGCACCAGCCCATCTACTGATAAAGATACCTCAGGATCTTCGTCACCGTCTTCCGGCAGCATGGGTACACAGACTCTTCGGGTGCAGTAGAAGGTAGTACCGTCTTCGTTACACCAGCAAGTGTTGCAGTCCTTGATGAACATTCGGTTCGCGACGCAAACGATTGCTTTGGTCGTGTTTTGAGACGACCTTAACTCCTGAAGTAACGAGGAATGTACACACGATGATAGAGAATTTTAAATTGAATTCTCGACTACTTTTATCAAACTATTCGGCACTGATGAACAAAACTGGCAGTGGGTAAATTACACAATTATTGGCACTTGGACGTGAAGGTTTTGGTATGATATTTGGACAGTTGTCCTCGTTTTAACAGAGGCCAAAATAAATAAATATATTATTTGAATGAAACAGTACCAACATAAGCTGAAGAATACAAAAGTCGTTCAATAAAAATCAAAGTTTTGTTGAGTAGGTTAGGTAGTTTATTGTCATAGTGAAAATAATGCAAGGGGCATATTTTTTAATTTATTTATTGTTTTTACATTAATAAATTAAAATGTTGCTTTTTCGGTTCATTCCTTGAACTACGGTGTACTACCATTGTAACTGGCTTTCACAATAGGAACGACAGGTTTTGTTTCCTGCAAAAATAATACAAATTAAGATTTTTAATTAAAGCTTTTGATATTTATCAAATGATCCGTCGCCCCATCTCAAACGCACCTTTAACTCATGAAAGACCTCAACATCGGCCGGCAATGGACACAGTTTGTTCGTGCACGCGTAGTCGGTACCGAAATCATTGCACCGACAAATATTGCAGCTCACGTAAAAGCTGTCCCTGGGCTTGCAGACAGAGTGGCGCTCTATATGATCAACGCCCTGGAAAAGAGGGTTAATCGAAAACCAAACCGTACAATCTGGCTTTGGAATGAGCTCCCCTCAACCGTGTTTCCCGAGCGCCATGACATGTCCTTCTTCAAACGAGGCTTGTGGAGTGTACTAAACGATAAGCAGCAGCTTGGCTCTGCCACTGTCATTGTTGACGTCCATGAGCGACAGTAACTACTCACAATCAGGTGGGCCTTATGCTTGTCAGCCTATACGGCAATAAAAATAACCGATTGGCATGGTATCAGAGGCCATTTTCGGCACTAAGCTGATGCTGTGGCGCACTGTGAAATCGTATAGTTAAGTAACCACGAACCGGCCTATTTCTGCCGCGAAACAGCCATGTGCAATTTGATGAAATATAAGTGAGATTTCATGTGGGAAGATGGTGACATGGATAATCGAGTATTGTTTTCTCTAAATAACTATATTAATTATGGTCTTTTTGGCTGACCAAAATCTCTGAAGACTGCTTAAATAGTCCCAATAATTTCAAACTTTTTTATTTATGTTAACTGCATTTCTTTTTATACGTTAACCTATAATAGCAATATCCAATCGTCAAATGTACTGATTCACAGGTGGATGAGCAGCAAACTATTCATTCGTTCTCAAAGTATTCAAAGCACCATATAGCGATTGTTTCTCGGCATTTTTGAGTGGGTAACACAATCGTGCCTATTTCCTACCTGGTTTGTAGGGTAGGAGAGCCGTTTTACAATCCAATTATACCTTCCACTTTACGTCTCAAATTGGGTAGCGATACTCGAGTTATCGTTTCTGTGGGTAGTGACAAAAAGTAGCAAAGAAACGACTAACTCACATCATTTTCCATAAACACCTCAACGTCCGCGTCCGTTCCGGTATCCCCTTCGAGACACTCATTATGAGTGCAAGTGTAACTGTGCCCACTTTGCGAACACTTGCACAAGTTACAGTCCGATTTGAATTCCTGATTCGGTTTACACGTTATCGCTCTTCTTACTTTATTACCCTCAATTTTACTTGTGATCTTCTGAAAGGTTTCCTTGTAATCAAATAAATAATATTTCTTAGAATAATATCATCGCAAAGTACGTATATAATATAGTAGAATATCAAAACATGGTATGTCTACCATTGATCCCAAAAAGGCTACAGTTCCAAAAAAAAGCTTCGTTATTAAGCGCGAAGTTTGAAATTTAAAATTGATTTTACAGATTTAAAAATAACTTTAGAACCTCTCTCTAATTTTGTACTCCACTTGGCATTAAAATTTTAAGAGCGGATTTCATTCTTAACTACTAATTATCGTCTGTTGTAATTACAGGTGTCACTCATTAAGATATATACAACCAATTCTGGATAGTTGAAGCATACGATCGGATCTACTTCCATACTGACTTGTGACGTCAAAAAATAGTAAACCCGAACATACAGTGTTTCCGGGCCTATGGAATAATTTGCAAATTCTTATAATTTATTTAATGTCCAATTATGTTTGTCCAATTATGTTTACTTAAATTTCAGGATAACTATATAATGACTGTTTTGAATAAAGTGATGTGTCGGTAGCTATAATCCACATGAGCAGATGAGCAGATCACATGATATTTGATAGATGCTTGAATCTCGTTAACGACAATCTCATAAGAAACTTGCTTATATACAAGTCATGAAGAGAATAATATTCGGACTGTCGGACCACTAAGCAATTTTCATCGATAGAAGATCTTCCCTTTTTCGTTGCGAACTAAAAATCCTATAGAGACATTAATCATCATAAAAAAAAAAAAAAAAACATTTGCTTACTTACCTTAGAATTTATTAGGATCCGACCACCAAATGACAACTGTTATTAGAATACATTAATTCACGTAATTTTAGCACAGTTATGGAGATTTAAAAAATGATATTAAAAAACATTTCGATTAAAAACAACAGAGGCAGTTAAAAGCAGTTTTACGGTTTAATCATGGGATTTCATCAATACTTTTAAGGTTTTTTTATATTTTTGTTAAAGCCAGATAAGCTGACAGCTATTCGATTCCACTTATATAAGTGAACCGAGGAAAAGACATTTGAAAAATTAAGTTACCTACTTAATGATTAAAATGTAAAACTGCTTTTAAAAATGTAAATGTCTCGTGTGCCCCCAACAGAATATTAAAACAACAGATCTTGTTTTAATTCACACGATGAAATGTCTGGTTTTTTTTTTTAAATTGACCACGATTTCTTTGCGAAGTTTTATTTAAGAAAATCTCTTTAAAATTTGAACACAGATTTTACATCTAATGACATAAGAATGATTTTCACTTTTATAACCAAAGACATTCGATTTTGTGAAATATACTTTAGTTGAATCATCGCAAAGACGATTTTTTACTTTTATATTTATTTATTTTTTAAAAACAGGTTTACGATCGATGTCATCCGTGACCACAAAAACTTTGAAGTACTCGAACCGAAGAAATATATGAAACAAATAACAAATACACGAGAACAAGCGTCGAATTTGAATTTTCATTCATTGGCTGCGACGCCCAAAAATCCAAGAAAATCCCCTAAATAAAGCAATAGCGACTTGGTATTATTATATTATTATTGGTCTTTTAAAATCGTTTTAAAATGAAAACTTTAATTGAGAACCCTCCGGATTTTAATAGTAAGCAAATTAACTGGGGTGTGTGGCGCATTTACGTTGTAGATGTCTATGGGCTCAAGTAACCACTTAACACCAGGTGGGCTGTGAGCTCGTCCACACATCTAAGCAATAAAAAAAAAAAAAAAAAAAAAAAAACTGGTAACGAAAAATATGATCCAGATAACGATACAATATTAATCATCTAGTTCTACATGTACATTCGGTGTTCCGAAAAATGTATAATGTCGCCTTCCAATTTATATGAAATAATATATCGAGTGCTGAAAGGTTGTTAGATTAAGGCGACATTTTTGCAACTTTGCAGGAGAGTTTAAAATTTAAAATTTAGATAAAAGCATCATAACAAGAGAAATAGCGAACTATTTCAATGGAGTAAACTTAACTGAAGTTCAATTAAAAATATCGTATTGTTGACGCTAATACCAAATAAAATGCACCTTTAATTATAAAGATAAATGTCGCGTGTTAAGCGAAATGTCGCCTAATCCACATAGCATTTCACCCCTCGATATCAAAGTACAACGTATAACTGTAATGTAACATTTAACGATCGTAAATAATTCAACACCGTAACCAAATTTGGCTGTCAATGAACCATTTTCATGTCGCAAATATAATTAACACACATTTACTAATTATTTTTATATCTATATTAATTAAAACTACTTACAGGTATTTCGGTTCCTTTGGTTTCCAATTTTTCCGTGACGCCACTTCCGAAATCTGTAAATAAGTTTTCGGAAATTGAAAATTTTAAATCTTACGACAGTATTATTGTTCGGAGATAATCAAAAAACCTTTTATGGTTGGTCCCTCTCACCACGGCTGTGAAGAACAAACGATAAAAGTCATCACGAAACGCAAAAGAAAAAGCTGTAAAATTGTTTTTAATCTTCAAAAAAAAAACGTCCCGTAATTTGTTTCGTAATTTTTGACGTGATAACTTCTTATAAATCGGTGAACACCGACTGTACGCACGAAAAAGTGTCACGTTCCACCTGAGCCTAAGCGTGCAAGCGAACAGCGATAGAGAAGCACGATCGGCCAAGCGTTGGCTTGTGACACATTTATCTCTCTTCTCGCGTGACGTCAGAGCTAGCAGTTCGTATTCGAAAAACCAAAATGAAAATGTGTTCTGCCACTGACATTATCATGTAAAACTATCGTCCGTAAACCGACTTTACAGAAAACGAATTTTTGTTTTTTTTATAAACAAATTTTGCCGTTATTAATATCATAATTAAACAACAATTTTTAAATGACCGTGATGGGCAACAAAGAGGCCACTTTTAAGATTAATTATGCGATAAGATTTTTTTTTTTTTTTATAACAACGAGAGGCAAACGAGCAAGACGAGTCACCTGATGGTAAGTGATTCACCGCCGCCCACGGTCACCAGCGTTTACTTAATTGTAATTGTGGTATTACTCTGATTGTTAATGGACTGCATTTACACATACTCACTGTTATAACTGATGCACCCCATCTTAGTGCACATGGGTTTACCGTCCGAAGTGCACCAACACGTGTTGCATTCATTTTTCCACATAGTCTTCGGCGCACAGTCTTTCTTAGGCTCTGAAAATTTAAACAGGAAATTCATAACGCTAATTCATAATTTAGTACAATTTAATTCGGAGATAAATCATTGTCATCCGTGACCACGTAAAGAAAATATTTAAAAATATACATATAAATATATTATTATATCGGTGCAACTCCACTATTTAACTAACTAGAAATAGTTAAAATTAACTGTTTCCTAAATGTTACGCATGTCAACAACAATTTAAGACTGTATTCAAGACAATTCATGATTAAGCTACCCCCACTTTTCTACTATAAATACGAGTGACTATTGTCGCACAACACGCCCAAAACACGTCATTACCGATCCGCCCGATCCATTAACGGGGCTTTTAGGTACCTCAAGTACCGGTCACCGTCCTCGCCGAACCCGTCGCTTGTGACGAAGGGCTCGACGAGTGAATTAACCCACAGACACAGCCCACTGAGTTTCTCGCCGGATCATCTCAGTGGGTCGGGTTTCCAATCCGGTGGTAGATTCTGCGAAGCACTGCTCTTGCTAGGGCCAGTGTAAGCAATACTCCCGGTTAGAGCCCCGTGAGCTCACTTACTAGTTAAGGCTATGCTGAAATAGCCTCTCAAGGCTATCAGCTTAGGTAGGAAAAAAAAACGCAAAACACATTCAGACTCGAGTAGCTGAACAGAGCGGAGCTCTCTACCGATAACGTTGTACATTGGAAATGTAATAAATGAAATTCATTGGAAAAATGAGTCTTAATTACTGTCACTATGGAAGGCAATCATAATGATGAAAATAACGGTTGCTGACGTCATCACTTTAAAAACATCATGGAACGTTGACGTCATAACTTTAAAAACATCACGGAACCGGCCAATCCGTCATATATATGTACCGCGATTTCGGAAAAACATTTAATTTTGCGTGATTAAACCCAACAAAGTATTTTTGTATCGCGATAAATTTTACCAAGGATAAAAGAAATTAATATCGATTTAAAAATGTGACAGGATGATTTCTCAAAAATATAGCTTCGTTACTTTCTAGCACTGTCATCATTAAAAACTATTTTCTTTGATATCAGTATGAAAATGTGTTTTACTCGTGGTGACGTCACATGTGGCCATCACAACTTTTTGGACTATTCAGTGCCAACGGATTACTTATAGATATAATTAGACGTTCTAATATATTTTACCGTCAATGTGTTCAGCACAGGCTTCGTCACTACAAATGGCGTATCCATCGGCATTGCACCTACAACTGTTACACTGGTTCGACCACGTCGATCCCGGAGCGCAATCTCTGCCTTGGATCAGCTCAGACTTCTTGGGAGCTGAAATTCGTGGAATACAAATATGGCAAACTTTGACAGCAAAATCCATGTTCTTTATAATGGACAACGGCTGCAACCAATTGCAACGTGCCTATCATTCACTGCCATCTCTTTCAGATACCTTCTCCTTCTTATAGTGGCCTGTATTTTACTGGTCATATGTAGGCTTGTAAACCCATGTCAGTAGGTACCATAACCACGTCAGAGCTAGCAGTTCGAATAGTTCTGCTACTGACGTTATCACGTAAAACAATCGTCCGTAAACCGACTTTACAGACAACCAATTATTTTTTTATAACAATAACTTTACCGTTATTAATATTATTATTAAACAACAATTTTTAAATGACCGTGATGGCTAACAAAGATGCCACTTTTAAAATCAATTATGCGATAAGATACTCACTGTTATTAGTGATGCATTCCACCCTAGTGCACATGGGTTTACCGTCCGAAGTGCACCAACACGTGTTGCATTCATTTTTCCATGTAGTATTCGGCGCACAGTCTTTTTTTGGCTCTGAAAATTTAAAGAGTCAGCAAGAAATTCATCAGGTTAGAGCCCCGTGAGCTCACCTGAGCTCACGGGCTCTCACGGAGTCACAAGACTAGGTAGTCTTTCTGTGAATCTAGTATAACCCCTTGAGGTTAATATGATAGGAGAAAGAAAAAAAATAGGAAATTAATAATGTTTCAATTTAGTACAATTTAATTCGGAGATAAGTCGTTGTCATCCGTGACCACGTAAAGAAAGAATTGAAACTGAAATGCGTACTGCAATTTCGGAAAAAACTTATGCGTGATTAAACCCAAAAAAACAATTTTTGTATCGCGATAAATTTTACCAAATGATAAAAGAAATTAATATCGATTTAAAAAGGTAAAAAAAAAAAAGGTGTGGCACTCGGAAACTGCCGCGGTAAAGCTATTGCATAGCATTTTTTATCAACTTATGCAATTATAATTAGACAATGATAATTTAATATTAAAACAATAATAAAACAAGACCACGCTATATTAAACATTAATAAAAGCAAAACATTAACTGTCCCCTTCACACTCATAAGCTAGACCGCGCGAGAGAGAGATGAGCAGACTTTTCATGATGCGCATGCAGTGTGACGTCACGCCACGCGCTTATTCATAAACAATACAAAAGCGCAACGTGTGAATGTGTTGAACACGAGCTACATAGTAGGCGTAGGGGGGGTGTCAGGTTATTTTCGTTACGGAATTCGGTGGATTCAGCCACCGCGCTCAAAGCCCGCGATAAAATCTATGCAATAGCTTAAAAACACTATGATACCTCAAAAATAATAGTGTGTAATCAAGTTTTTTTTTTATTGCTTAGATGGGTGGTCACAGACCACCTGGTGTTAAATGGTTACTGGAGCCCATAGACATCTACAACGCAAATGCACCACCCACCTTGAGATATAAGTTCTAAGGTCTCAAGGATAGTTACAGTATTACAGTATTATAATCATTAAAAGTTATTTTCTTTGATATCTGTATGAAAACCAGTGGTCATCACAGCTTCTTGGACTATTCAGTGCCAACGGATTAGTTATAGATATAATTAGACATTCTAATATATTTTACCGATAATGTGTTCAGTGCAGGCTTCGTCACTACAAATGCCGTATCCATCGGCATTGCACCTACAACTGTTACACTGGTTCGACCACGACGATCCCGGAGCGCATTCTCTGCCCTGGATCAGCTCAAACTTCTTGGGAGCTGAAATTCGTGGGATACAAATAGGGCAAACTTTGACAGCAAATCACTTGTTATGATGGACAAGACAACGGTTGCAACCAATTGCAACGTGCCTGTCGCTCACGGCGGTCTCGTTCAGATGCCTTCTTCTTCTTATAGTGGCCTGTATTTTACTGATGATAGGGAAGCTAGTAAGCCCCCGTAAGTAAGTACCACGACCTTGTCCATTTCTGCCGCGCAAGATTAATGAATTCAAATTCGATGGGTGTCACAGCCGTTGTACTATACAAATGAGACTTAAAGCTCTAAAGCTAGGTGCCGTCATTTTATTTGTTCATTGGCCTTCCCAATCATTTAACAACAGGCGCCATTAGCTCGGTCACTAATCTAGGCAAGGCACTAGTAACACTGTCATTGATGATTAAAAACACTTTTACGGTCATCCGTGACCACGAAAACTGTAAAGTATTTGTAGTTTTGAAATGATCTCATCATCTATTTTTTTAGATTACAATTACGTTCACCCTGCTACTACATGGAAACGTTGCGTTTGCTGACAGTAGGTTGTGAAAACATTTTTCCTATTAACAATCCATGTCTGATATGAACTCCCCTCCACAACGTATCCCGACGTATAGCTATGACAGGCCCTACTTCATACTCCGATTCGAAATAAGCCCTCAGTGGCAAGCAATAGTTTGACTGACATTGCCAATGTGGCCGACAGAAATCTAAATAGGGATAAATATAATATAATAAAATATATATAATAGAGTAGGGATCGCAGCGCATAAAATAAAACTTCCACTGTTTCAAAATCTTCTGCTAAAAAAAATATCCAACACCTTTTTTACGCCTTAACCATCTTCGCTATTTACTATTTCTCTGTCACTGTCTGTCTTTCTCTTTTTCCTTTTCTTATCGTTTTCTCTCTCTCTCTCTCTCTCTCTCTCTCTCTCTCTCTCTCTCATACGTTCCCTTCTTACCAATCCTACATCTAGTGATGATCTTCTCTGGTCAAAAATAAAATTTAAATTTAGAACTAAGAGTAGACAAGTTCTTACTTGACGATCTTCTACAGGCATCCAAGGAGCACAGGCCCAGACCGTTATCTAAGCAGACGCAAGTGTTACAATCCCTCTGGAAGGAGGTGCCTGGCTGACAACGCACAGGTTCAGCTGGAAATAAAAAAGAATATATTTAAAAAACAATTATAGACCATGTGTGCAATAAATAAAATAAAATTAAACAGTACCTGCTAGTTATAATCTTATACGGAAGTCGTCGTGGCCTAAAGGACTATACTGAGACCTTAGAACTTATATCTCAAGGTAAGTGGCGCATTTACGTTGTAGATGTCTATGGGTTCCAGTAACCACTTAACACCAGGTGGGCTGTGAGCTCGTCCACACATATAGGCAATAACAAATGATTTAAAAAAAACGGAAACACACTCTAACAAAGAACAGGTATTTAAGCACTAATATGCTTTCAATTTTCATGATAGTTATATATCTAAGCATTTTGCCCGTCATTTCCTTATATAATAAAATTGATTCTTCTACTACCGCTATCTTAAGGTAAGCGCATCATATTGTATCTATAGGCTCTGGTAGCCAGCAGAATGTATTTAGCTAGAAATATCTAGAAAGAGAATGCAACGTTAAAAATACAGAATCCTTTCTTCCACACTCTTATCAACATGCTTTTTTTTCACTACGACAATTAGCCTTTTGCGATGATGCCATCATTGCCAGCGTCGAATTTAAATCAGAATTTTATTTGCAATTATTTTTGTTTGTCTTCGTGTTTTTTATTTGTGCATTTTTAACACAAACTACTCAGGAATTATTTTAGCAACTATAATCGAGGGAACGTAACCATATTTAATTATAAATTAAACCGTTACAGCGGCGAAATAGTGTACATAGCAAATACCAGTATGGTCAGATAACTTTAACAGATTTATTACTGGTGGTAGGAACTCTTGTGAGTCCGCACGGGTAGGTACCACCACCCCGCCTATTTCTGCCGTGAAGCAGTAATGCGTTTCGGTTTGAAGGGTGGGGTAGCTGTTGTAACAATACTGAGACCTTAGAGCTTATATCTCAAGGTGGGTGACGCATTTACGTTGTAGATGTCTATGGGCTCCAGTAACCACTTAACACCAGGTGGGTTGTGAGCTAGTCCACCCGTCTAAGCAATAAAATAAAAATAAAAAAACACACGAATTTGGACTTTACCGTTTAAAACACAACTTACTAAATATAATTTGATCACAGCTGTCCTGCCTCAAGCACTCGGCGACTCCTGAATCGGAGCACCTGCAGAAGTGGCAGTTGCTCTCCCACTCGGTTCCCGCCAGGCATTCCACTTCCGACTGCATTTCTTGGACGGCAGACGCGTCATCTGTTGTTATCTGACTCGGTTTGTCTAGAAGCACATTTAAATGGGTACGCATTAGCAGGGACGTCTTAAATTAGGCTGGGGCCCCTGGGCACATAAGAATTTGAGGCCCTTTTGGAAAGTAAAAAAACGAATTAAATTAACATTTTTCTACTGAGTATGAAAATTTATTATAGGTAATGAAATAAAGTATGATATAGTATTAATGATATTAGAATGCTGCTGGTTTTTAGATGCGTTCGGAAATATTATTAATTAGTACAGTAGGGATAGGCGCAGTCATCGATATAATGGCGTAGTATATGCCTTGGAAATACCTTCTGATAAGATTACTGATTTGTGAAAAAAGTGTAATGCGCCCGACAAAAATGTTTTGAGAATAAATGTGTGAGAGAAATTGTCGGTCCTTAGGGGCCCCCTGAGAAAGGGGGCCCTGGGCACGGGCCCCATGTGCCCTTATGGTAAAGATGGTATTGCGCATTAGAACAAATAAGAAAACGATCAAAAGGGATCAATCACCATTTTTGTGTCACGTAATATAACATATCGTCTTTTCGCATTAAAACAGTATAATCTCAAAATTTACTAATTTTACAGGAGTGCTTTAAAGGTTTAACATGTAATATTTCATTTATTTTTTATTTTTTACCAGTTACATTAACTGCATTTTAAAGTAAAATAAAATTATTATGTATTAATTTTGTTAATAGTAGTCAAAACAAAGGTAAACTAAAAAAAAATATAACTAAACTACTAAACTATTTTTGACAGTATGAGAATAATACTGGTGATACCAAAATATGTTTACGCATATTAACTCAATTTCGAATATTTTTGAAAATTGTACACTTTTAATGCGAAAAGGCTATATGAGTCGTCTATTATCAAAGGTGGCAATCTGTGCATTTGGAAAAAAAAAATTATTGATATGTCAATACAGATTGATTTGAATATAATCGTCTCCTTCAAAGAATACGGTTCAAAACCTGCATTAAATAAAGGTTAATAGTGAACCTGTTATTTATCTAAGATGTCGTTCCGAAGAGTTTTGTGACTGCCAATGGAATACAAAGTCAATAATTCGTTTTTCTGATTTACCAATCATTGCCCAAAAGTCAGATTGCCGGCTTTGATAATAGACGACTCAATTATATCAGTGTGCTTAGTGCGAGTTTCTTAACGTTCTCGATAGCGTAAAAGTGAAGCCAATATTCTATGAAATTGGAACAGCGCCCCTAGCGGCAAACGTAGGCAAACGAACCCATTCCATACAAATATGAGCTAACTTTTACGCTATCGAGAACGTTAAAAAACTCGCACTAAGCACACAGTTCTACTATTCGCGCGTTAAGCTAAACGCGAAACGTATTGTCATATGTACCTAATCGATCTGTGATTGTTTGATCGAAGGTTAGTCCGTCGATTGTTTGGCCCCGAGTGACGGTCAACCGAGTTTGTTATACATTGCGCGGTAATTTCCAAAATTATGAGCAACCCAGCAGCGGACTTTTTGGCGGGAACGCGAGGAGTGAAGTTGTGTGATTTGTTTTATTTTGTCTATTTAGTGTTTCTTCGGGTTTAAATGTGTAATAATGGTGGTTTATTAACTGTTTAATATCTGTGAAAGTGCACAAATGTGGGAAAATGAAACAAAGCCGCTGGACGTAGCTTCTCGGGATCCTTCAAAAAGTTCACTGAAAAAATCTTAGTAAATGACCACCATTTTACTGAGATTATATTTCATCCCATATCATCTCATTTAATTTCATCCCAGTTGATTAATGTCTCAAATCAATCATCTTCATTTCATTTCACTCCATAATATCATTTTTCATAAAAATATGAATATACATTAAAATAAGACATGACTTAAAGGTCTCAGTTACCAGGTCATAAAATCCCATAAAAAAAACCCAGCAGCGTACTACCGTCTAACCGTTCGATTTGTTATTTGAATGAAGCAAAGTACTTTATCATTACCGTCATACGTATCACAGTCAAAACATGTTCCAAACGTGTGTCGTATATAATAGACAAATACCATATATACAAAACCATATAACTACAAATACCATAATCATTGCTGTTAGCGTGGACCTATAGGTTATTTATGACGACGCTTGTAGCTGGAAGTAAGTATTGGTACTTTTTGACGAAGCATGCTTCTATAATCTGACGAAGCGTGTTACGGATAATATGTTTAAAAAAAGTATTATTTTATTATTACGATAAATAAAACAAACTTTATAATTAAATATACCATATGCCAGAACGCACAATGGTAGCTATGAAAACATGTCCCGAATAACAGATTTATTATGAGGTTTGTTTTTTTTATTTTTATTTTTTATTTATAACTAATACTAGAAAGTATAAAGGCGGACTTAATGCCATAGGCATTCTCTAACAGTCTACCTTAGGGGAGTGCAGAGATGAAGCTTGGTAGGTGTAGTGTGAAGGTGATATTACTTAAACATATGTGTATATATAACAAACATAATATTTATAGATACAAATACTCGTACTGAAATAAATACATATACATAAATATATACATATACATATCATAAACATATACATATAAAAACATATATAAACAAATATTATCAATTAGGTGACTCTGCTAACTCTCTGAGAAACAGTTCTCGAAACTTCGTCTTAAACGCTTCACGTGTAGTGGCCGACCTTAGTTTGTGTACATTATTTGAGTATATTTATCCCGGATTTACCGATTAGGCAAATGGCACGCGAAGTTAGTAATTACAGTTCANATATCATAAACATATACATATAAAAACATATATAAACAAATATTATCAATTAGGTGACTCTGCTAACTCTCTGAGAAACAGTTCTCGAAACTTCGTCTTAAACGCTTCACGTGTAGTGGCCGACCTTAGTTTGTGTACATTATTTGAGTATATTTATCCCGGATTTACCGATTAGGCAAATGGCACGCGAAGTTAGTAATTACAGTTCATATTTTGTTATATTATTACTACGTGCAGCATCCGTGCGATCACCGCCAAGATATATGTCTCGGACCGAAAATGATGCTTAGTGCGAGTTTTTTAACTTCTTGATCGTGTGAAAGTTAATTCAAATTTCTATGGAGATGAAACAACTACACTACGTTTGCCGCTAGGGGGCGCTGCTACAGCTCCATACAAATTTGAGTTAACTTTAACGCGATCGAGGAGTTAAAAAACCGGCACTAAGCACACTGGTCGGAGTTGTGCGTCAAAATACATAAAATACTCCACAATTAATCTCGATACACATTAAAACAACGAACATAGCACGTTCTGTGTGATTATTATGTGAAAATGCAAAAACAAAAGTGTGTCTAGAATTACGAATGTTAGTTAGTAATTTTTAATATTATTTCATTAACATCCCAAACTTAGCTGTGGCGGCAGACGTTGTATGCGAACAATTAAATTGCGCGTCGCCTGAAAATAAGCCTTACGTAATACATTGCATGTAGTGCATCAGTCACTTTTTTACACGATTTGATACCAACGTCTTAGACAATAATTCTGCCGCATACAGTAGGTATGATAACATCAGTCTTATACAATACGTCATACCTCAAGTGAGGTATTCGAGTTGTGATGTTGTGACAACCATAACAACCGATGGACTGTCAACTGTCAATAACTAGTGTCTGCCAAATGAACTTATGGAGGGTAGAGGTACAGAGAACCGTCTCTGTGTGTGAAAAAGTATCCGTTAAAATCTGCTAAATAAGGGTCGCGCTACAGTAGCAACTGCGTAAATTAAAAAAAAGGCGCTGAAAGTTATTAGAATAAGATAGATAAATAAAAAAGGACGAAAGAACTGTAAGCACTACAAAATCACACAAAGTATTTTATTTAAAGCTGATAAGAAAATGCAATCGATGTCTCCACGTTTTACCACAGCAATAATTTTAGGTTAGGTATATTGACGAAATTAGTTTGGACTACGTAAACATGTGAGGTCTCATATATTACACTGTCACTAACTACTCTAGTCATTAAATATATTAAATTTCCTAACTCAGCATACTTCAATCAGTTAACAACTGCTCAATTCATATCATACCCTGTGCCTATGCTAGCGCCATTCTGGAGGATTTTTGAAATGTTATTTAGTGCTGGAAGTGGGACACTTTTCCAAGCTTCTCCCATATGAGACGGTCCTCCTTACCTCTACCCTCCACAAATAAACCGAATTCTTATATTTGTTTAATGTATCATCACATTTTCTCTTATTTATAATTGGCCATTTTGAAAAAAAAAAAACAAAATATTGGTTGGCAAACGTAAAAGTTAATGGTACCTTATTTGTCTATGCCTAGTTATACATAAATAAATATATTAAGAAAATAAATATTCGATCTTGAGTACAAGAAAACCTGTATCTTTTGAGTCAGCAATATAACTAAGAGTGATTTATTGTGACATGCAGTCACGATTTAAAATAATTTCACGATTATAATTTATAATCTTGTTTTAGTGATTCATAGATATACTGAATATAATGTTATCTTTTCATCTTAAGTGGATATAAAAAGCTATACGTGTATTGATAAAAAAATATATATACAAAATGTATTTTTGTTTTTCAAACAACTGCTGGAGCAAAGGAATCCGGATCTGCAATGTCCTGACAAGCATTTAAGTTATATTAAGGAAAAAATATAGAGCTTAATTTTTCGATTCTTGAAAGACTAAGCTGTCTATTCAACTCGTTAGGTTTTTTTTTTTAGTTTGATAATAAACTATGAATTAGGTACCTTTTGATTCTTGCTCTGCTGCACACGGGCCTTCTGTGCCAGGACTGCATTTTAGGGCTAAAAAAAGAAAAAAAATATTACACTCACACTTGACCAGATTTTTTTATTTACTTATATAATAAATACGTATATGTTAAAAATAGTAATACATATATATATTTTGGGTGACTGTGTATGTTACCGGCACGGCCTTAACTCTCGCTGCTGCTAATCCCGTGTAGTTACAATATCGTGTAATAAAAATTAAATCCGCAAGATTATAATTTGCGTAATTACTGGTGTTAGGACCTCTTGTGTGCGGGTATGTGTGTGCCTCTTGTGTGTCTCCGCGCGGGTAGGTACCACCACCCTGCCTGTTTCTGCCATGAAGCAATAATGCGTTTCGGTTTGAAAGGTGGGGCAGCCGTTGTAACTATACTTGAGACCTTGGAATTTATATCTCAAGGTGGGTGGCGCATTTACGTTGTAGATGTCTATGGGCTCCGGTAACCACTTAACACTAGGTGGTTCGTGAACTCGTCCTCGTGAGCTAAGCAATAAATAAAAAAATATTCAACATTAATCTGTCTTAGATACGGTAACGAACTTTACGAAAAGACAATAACAATTTAAGTACTCCTGGCAAAACTGGTGGCAATGAAATCTGAAACTTAATTCACTGTTAGAAACCAAGATCAAAATAACCTAGCACTAATACATGTACTGGCCATTTAAGACAAAATTTACAATACAGCTCGGCTGTGCACCTGTCATCGTTTACGTCTATTAACGACGATGACGACTCATTATCACGTGGACCGTATACTGGTTTGCCAAGCCTACATCAATCGTCAAATTCCAAGAAAGGCTGCACCTGGCATTACGTAAAAAATAAATCCTCAAACTAGGCTCTACAAAAATAACCCCTGCGTCTAAACTGACGGTTATATGACAGCTGATTTACGCTACAATTTGACGTTTCAGTTCGAAGTCACGTGACCCGTTTCGGGCGTCATAGCGCGCCTGACCGATCCTCAATTTGCCCTTTAACCTTCGCAATTATTGCAGTTCTATTAATAGCGGCAAACAATTGGTACAATAATTACTTGCGGTCGTCTTATGTAAACTGTCCAAATTCCTTTATGATAGTTTTATATAATTATCAAAGATGATCTATGTTAATAATGGCCATGTATTGACGCAAGTTCAAGTATCCAATGATCACATTGTTCACACAATTTGGAAACATTATAGCACCTAGCTAAGTTCTATGTTATCTTAATTAATTTTTAAGTTTGAAGGTATTTTTCTCAGTCGTTTGCACATTTGGCAGAGTGATCGTGGCCATCCCTTCGTATATTAGAACGTATACAGGTTACACTGCCTAAGAAGCAATAAGTAACCGTCATCTTTAGTGGAAACAAACCTAACGCAGGTTAAAACTCTGTTGGAAATAGTTCACTAACACCACATAATCTATAATAGATTTCAGCCCACATACGTCCTCTGTTGGACATAGGCCTACCTAATCCTAGCCACAACGACCGGTTCTGCCCTGACAACATCCAACGGATTCCGGCGACTTTCAACAGCTTAGCATAATTTTAATTAGAGATTTGCTTCCACTCGGGCTTCAAGTTCAGCTTACTGGATCTTCAGACTCTCAAGGAAAATGTGATTCAGTTCTCCCATCATCGAAAATAGTTTTTTTTTTATTGCTTAGATGGGTGGACGAGCTCACAGCCCACCTGGTGTTAAGTGGTTACTGGATCCCATAGACATCTACAACGTAAATGCGCCACCCACCTTGAGATATAAGTTCTAAAATCTCAGTATAGTTACAACGGCTGCCCTATCCTTCAGACCGAAACGCATTACTGCTTCACGGCAGAAATAGGCAGGGTGGTGGTACCTACCCGTGCGGACTCCAAAGAGGTCCTACCACCAGTGATTACGCAAATAATAATTTTGCGGGTTTGGTTTTTATTACACGATATTATTCCTTTACCGTGGAAGTCAATCGTGAACATTTGTTGAGTACGTATTTCATTAGAAAAATTGGTACCCGCCTGCAGGATTCGAACACAGTGCATCGCTACATACGAATGCACCGGACGTCTTATCCTTTAGGCCACGCCGACTTCAAATACTATTATATCCAGCATACTTACTAGAATAATACTGTGCAGTTGATTTGAGGAGAACTTTCAGATTATACCCCTACATATTATAATAAAACGCATTCAATGTAAGAATTTTAAAATCGTATCTGTTAGAAATTAATGAACCAATATTAATGAATTTAAGTGGATTCTTAAACTTAGTCACGAATCTAGTCATGAACCTTCTAATAGAGAACAAGAGGGTATTATTACCGAGGTAATCAATGTGATACAAAATAAGCTAATGTTAATTCTCAAAAAAAAAAGTTTTCAAATCGATTTAAAATTTTATAGCATACTCTTTTTCTCAAAGTCGGCCCATGAAAGCGTGTTTATAGCTCTTGTAATGCGATTCACGAGAGGACAGCCTCGGCTGTTGAACCCAAACTTGCTCCGCGACTAGCGGTTACACTGCGCAACAAAATTATTAGTCGAATTTATTAATATATATTTTTTTTTGCGTTTTTAGGACCGAACTTTTGATTTCTACCGGGACGCGTAAACGTTACCAACCTTGAGACTCTCAATTATAATCTAAAATCTCTGTTGACCCTAGAGACAACTTTGACACCGCAACGCATGAATTACGCGGTAGTAACAATCGAACTGATAATAACGGTTCTCATCTGTCCTCGTCACCAAACTATGTACAAAGTAATAAAAACTTTGTTCTGCACGTAATGTGACGTCATTGAAAAGCTAGCACGCAGACAAGGTCAACGGACCCGTGTAGCGCGGGAATACAATCGCGCACCAATCTAACTCCAGATGAGGGTTCACAAAAAATGAACTGTCTAAAATGATAAGCGGGCTTATCTATCTGCAAATTAACTAATATTCCAATCGTATTAAGATGGATCCGGAAACGGATTTTTACGTCATCTTATCACCCCATTAACTGTAACCTTATGAAATCTATACAAACTTTACCATAGTAGTAGCAGTATGTCATACTTAAGACCAAAACATCACGTATCTAACAAATGAACACGACATTCCTTGAGAAATTTTGCGTCTTATAACAAATATTATACATTGATATTTACTGCTGGTAGGACCTCTTATGAGTCCGCACGGGTAGATACCACCACCCCGCCTATTTCTGCCGTGAAGCAGTAATGCGTTTCGGTTTGAATAGTGGGGCAGCCGTTGGACTGTTAAAACTGATATACCTTAGAACTAATATCTCAAGGTGGGTGGCGGAATTTACGTTGTAGATGTCCATGGGCTCCAGTAACCACTTAACACCAGGTGGGCTGTGAGCTCATCCATCCATCAAAGCAATAAAAATAATAATAATAATGAACACAATTAATTCAGAACATAAATAGGTTAAAATAAAAATCTCGTTATATTTATCATGACTCGGTTTCCACACGAAGATAATGCCGAGTTAATAATACGCGAACTACTTTTAAATCAGTCAAGAGGCTATCTAACTACGATTAAACAACATAATAGGCAATTTTACGTTGTAATTAAAGCAATTTATAATCTCATTTGGAAGATATTTTTGTACGCTTTTAATGTATTTAATTTACAATAAGTAAACTACAAATTCACGGTCGTATTTTCTAAGAACTCGGAGCTCATTTTACCAGAAGTATTAGTAAACAAAAATATTTTATTTAAGAACAATTTTATTTATGTTAGACGCTTACAATATCTTGAACGACATCTTAGTACTTAGTTTTTGTTTTAATTTTAAATTATCGGTTGTGAAGTAATTTATGAGAACCCATGTCAGTGGAAACTATAAAACAATAGTAAAAGAATTTAAATTTATTAATACCGCAGGAGTCACGCGGTCAGAAGTTTTATTTTTTATTTATTTTAATTATATTGTTTATTTGTAATAATAAGAACAATAATACCAATAATAATTCCAATAACAGTCACAGGGATAGCTTGTAGGTACCGAGCCTGTCATATTTTCAGGTAAATTTATATTATTATTTGGTCAATATTGAATTTAGTAGATAAGAATTTGAATGACGAAATTAAATTAAAAAAGCTAAAATAGAAAAGCTGTGGTCTCATAATATAGTACTTATGAATGGTATGAGATCTAAGTTTAAATGTATTCCATTAGCATGCATGGGGGAATTGACAACAGATCAATGAAGCCATCTAACTTCACGTTTGTAAAGTTAGATCAACTTATAAGCTTAAAATTATTATTAAAGAAAATCATTATTAAATAATGTTAAAAAAAACGCCGGTTTTCGTGGCGAGCAGTGTACGAAGGATGTTTGTCGCATTATGGCGAGGTGTGCTAAGCGACCGCGCCGATCTAACAGTACTTTTATCGTAAAAGGGAATCGCATTTCATCTCAATAACAATGCAAATTTATTCACACTCTACCAGCTCTTGTTTACTTTAGACTGTTGCGAGGTAAAACCAGATTGTGTTTGTTTTTGCATTAAGACCATACAATAATGAACCTTGAATGTTTGTCGGCTTTAGCTGCGGACTAAATTCCCCTCTTGGCAGTATTCGCTTTGTTAGGCAGACAAACTAGGTACTAGTGACTAGATCTACGTTCTAACCTTAGTTGGACCCTCTTTTTTTATGATTGAAAGTTTACTGGTGGCCCGAAGGCCTTTCCAGTTTCACCGGGACAGGTAGGCGAGCAAAGGCTCAGCCAAGAGGGGCGGGATTTGCTAACAACTGCCCGAGCGCCTCCGAAGGAGACCCAACAACTCAAGAGCAATTGCTTCGCGAATGAATCTGGGCCTTCGTATTTAATGTGCGTCGCTATTTCACTCTTCGAACTTTTTATTTCTTTTCCCTACCTATGCTGATAGCCTTGAGAGGCTATTTTAGCTTCACCCTAACGTGTGTAGGTGAACTTACGGGGCTCAAACCGGAGTGTTGCTAACACTGACCCTAGCAAGAGCAGTGCTTCAGAGAAT